GGACATCTACAAATACCGCATTCCTGTTCATAAATCAAGCCAGAATGAGCTGAATCAGAAAAACTCCGAGGAGACAACGCCTGGAACAAAGGATGGAATAGCAGTAAAACCTTCAGGTACGCATTTTGAAAATAAAAATCTAGCAGGTATTTCTGCATTTCAGTGAGAAAACATTGAAATGTGCAGAATGAACACAAGAGCAGTATCTTTATTTGGATCTAGTGCATAGACGCCAGGGAGAAATCCTTTTCCCAGCAAGCATTAGGATACCCTGTTCCAGGTTTACAAGTCGGTTTTGATAATTTAGTTTGATTCTGCTAAATATTAAAAAAAAAATTAAAACAAAACAAACAAACAAATCCTGTAGCATAAACTCAGGATGTTTTATAGCCAAAGGATGAAGGAATGTTCAGCTCGGGAAGTCCTAGGGATTGTCTTGTAAGTGATCTCTTCTGAGGCTTCAGGATGAGCATAGAAAGAACGCTAGGAACGGTGACTTTTAAAAAAGCAATCAGAAAATCTAGCCGTAGTAAATCTCTCCTTTAGGTAGCTCAATATTCTGTTTAGTTGGGATTTTATAAACACAGTCATTTTCCTATCTGTGTCACGTAAAAACAGTTACCACTGCCTTTGGATATTATCCTCCTCTGTGTCTCTTAAGGGACTGTGGCGTGTAATGAATTAAAAAAGTGAAATACTTTCATGTTCTGTGTTGAAAGGTACTGCAGGAACAGAAGTGCTGCTGTTAGCAATACTACTAGTAGCATTTCAGTAAAATTACTCAATGTCTTCTTCCTTGTGCAGATGTGGAACAGTTTTTTTCTTTATGAATGGTGCCTGCTCCTCTCCTTTTTTAATGTCCTCGGGAACTTTTCCACTTGCTGCATTCCCCGAATGCAGGTAAGTTAGAGATCTGTACCCTCTCTTGTCATTTCTGTCCCTTTGAATTACGTCTTCCTTTGCTCTTTATTTATAAGGCTGCACAGTCACAGAATTTAACACCTACCCTAGCTCCTGTGCAGAAGTTTTTTGCTTTTCTCTTGGCTGATTTTCAGTGCTTGTCTTTGGCTCCATTTCTCTCCTAGAAAAGAGAGTAAAGCATATTACGAGCAAAACTCAGAATCTCTTTCCTGTGCTTCGTGGTGCAGTAAATCTTATTCCCACTCTTTTCCTCTATACCTTCATTTTTCCTCTTTTAAAATCATGACAAGAAATCCACAGCTCTCTTGGAGATCTTTTTAAGCACATTTAACAAGCTCAATTTAAGGTGCACCTACCATGATTCTACCTAGCAAATCAGCCTTCACGCTTCTCCTGACAATCTGGTTTCTTGGTCTTTGAGACCATTCACTTATTTTCACGCTGGTGACCAACCTAGAATTAGTTCTATACTGCATTTTCTATCTGCCATCACGTATTTTCCCCATGGAGAAGACAATTCCCACAATTGCTATTTGAAGTGAGAAGCCTGGAAGCATTTTGTGGCAAGCGTTTGTTAGGAAGACAGTTGTAGAGCAAGTCCTTGCAGATGTGTCCATCGTTATCTGTGGGTTACCTGCTGCAATTTTACCTCTTCTCGGTTAAAAGCGCATTCTTCCAGAATAGCTTCTGTCCAGTTACGGTGCCTTAAGGTTAAATACTGGCACATCGGTAGGTTTGAGGAAAAACACTTGCAAAATTCAATCACTTATGCTATGCAAAACGTAGTAGCCCTCTGTAGCATATACTTTTAAAATAAATGGCTCGATTTTCTCAGCAGTAGGAAGGCAGCACTGCAGTGAAGACTTACCGAGCCATCTATTTGCCCAGAAAATCAATTACAACTAAAGACAAACAAGTGGGGCTGCTCCTGGTGTGTGTGTGTGTGTGACCCATGAGGCCTTGCTGACCCTTTCTGCTCTGTCCTACAGCCCCTCCGTGTACCTGTACCGTCTGATGGCCGTGGTAGTTCATCACGGAGACATGCATTCAGGCCACTTTGTGACTTACCGCCGCTCCCCGCCTCCTCCCAAGAACCCATTTGCTGTCAGCAGCCAGTGGCTGTGGATTTCCGATGACACCGTTCGCAAGGCCAGCTTGCAGGAAGTCCTTTCTTCTAGCGCCTACTTGCTTTTTTACGAGCGTGTTCACTCGAGGGTCCAGCACCACAGCCTGGAGTTGAGGGCTGAAGAGTGATGGAGAGAGCAAGACAAATAAAGGAGAAAATTCCTCTTAATGAGATCTACGTGGCACCTCCTGTCTGTTATGCAAATAACCCACCACAGGCCCTTTAACTTTCCCCTTCCTCTATGGCAACGTCTCGCTCCGGCTGGGAGTTGTGTTTTGTACCAAAATTGCGCTACCCAAAGTGGGGCTGCTGGCGCCTGGCAGTCCGAAGCACCGCTGTATTCGAGAAACGTTCGTTCCCTTAGGTAGTGATTTTTGTCAGCGTTGCAGCTCTGAAACAGACATTTCAAATGGACTTCCCGAGGCCGTATTCTGACACCTGCGTACGTTTTCAAGGGGAGATGCTTCATCCTAGGCATTTCACTGCAGGCGTTTCTCAATGGGCGAGCCCCAGGAGCGGTCGATGGGAAGCTGCTGTTATCAAAGGCAAGGATTTAAGAAACAAAGTGCCTTGAGCTTATTTGAATAGCTACCTTACCATTGTCTGAGTCCGCTGCGTGTCAGCTGCATGCTGGTAGGCGTCTCAAGACGATGGGATCAACTAACGGAATCAGATTTCTCTCGACAGCCCAGGTGATCAAGTAAAGGCATCTCTGTGTGACGTGCATGATCCAAAAAATGACTTCCCTGTTCACGTTCTTTTCCTAATATTTTAGTTCTTATTACATCATAGAAGCACTTCTGTGGATCCGAAGCGCAGTTTCCTTTTTCCCGGAGAAAACATGATTTTTTTTTTAATCTATTAAGAGCCGAGACCCTGACTTATTGCACTCTGTCTTTGGAAGATAGCTGACATGGCGAGACAGCAGCATTTGTTAGCAGTCAGTGTTGTCATTCCTTCGTCGCTATGAAACTCTTGAGTACGGTCGCTTGTAGTATCAACTACAATTTTTAATGCTGTGATTTTGAGGCTACTGTAACTGGTGTTCTAGATTTGCCCTTCCTATTTTAATGCCAAAAACTGCCATTTCTCATCCAGCATTCGGAGCTGGGCCATCAGGCTTGCAGTTCAGCGTTAGAGTTTGTGCCAGTCGTGATTGTGAGCCCCGATGCGTAGCAGCCCGAGCGTCCTCGTGAAGTTAAGAGTATGCACAAGGGAAAAAAAAAAGGCTAATTCACAACACAAGCTTTTTCAGCATAAAAGTTAAATTTTCAAATGGTAACAACTGTCTTAAATAGGTTTTTTTTTAGGGCAACTTTGTACCTCTTATATTCATATTGCTGCCCAAAGCTCATAGGCATTCGGAGTTCCTTAATGGGGGGCTCAAAACCAGCCAAAAATAGGAGTGGTAATGGATGCATATGCAAAACTATTTACACAACTTGTCATTCCAGGTTGTGGATCCCACTTCCTGCTCCGAGTAATGCCCATAGCACATAAAATACTCTTTATAAAATCCACCGATGTGCTAGTTGCTGAGAAGCCTCCCTGCCTGTGCTAGGCTAGCAGGAGCGTGGTTTTAACCTTTCTGTTTTAAGTAGAAGGATGCAAAATGCCAAAACCACCCTGGCCGTTGAACTAAGACTGAAGGGAAGACCTTGCAGAAGGTGAACGTCCTTCCTTCTGGGCAGCCTGGGTGTGCAGCGGGAGCTCTGTAGAGCAGTGCTGCGTGGCATCAAGGAAATAACATCGCGCAAAGCACGTAGCTCCAGGCCTACCATTGGTACCTCAGAACATTTCTGCTGCCAACACTCTACATCCTGCAGCACCTGTTCTCAACACGGCCTGTTTTAAGAGGTTTTCACTGGGTTTTTGAGAAGTTCATCTGAACAGGTCACTTCGTTCAGAAAGCAGTAACGCTGGAGGTGGGTCAGAATGTATGCACACGATAGACCGAGTCCTGTAACGAGGACATAAAGCCACACGCTACTGCAGGCTCGCATGTTCCGTGTATTTTTTATTTCTGTGTAGAGCTGCTTTCCAACAGCGGCTGGTTTGATGACAACTGAAAGCGCAGTTGCTGTACGACACCGATAAACTCAGTTTTGCTCAGCTGCAGATTTCCTCCAGAAGCTTCCTGAAGGGCTCTGAAGATGAGGGTTGAGGAGGCAGCATTTGTTCTAGCTTTCACTGTTAGGAAGGAGTAGATAGCTTTGGCTTTAGCCCTCAGTGTGAGAAAGGGAGCAACTATCAGCCCCTCGCTCCTGAGCTGTGCTAGATCCTCCAGCCTACCGCGAGCACCCAAGAGCTCTGCAGATGTTTGCCACCCAGCGCTGACCTTGCGAAGTCACCAGGCTCTGCGCAAGCACGTGAGGCTCCTCACATGCTGTTACTTGTTAGTCGCAAGCTTCCGTGGTGGAGAAGGCATTAATAAAATGTAACAGGCTAAAAACCATCAGATAAGACCTCTCAAGGTGACACCTCTGTGTTTGGATTTTTCTTGTATTTTGTGCGTTATTTAAAAAAACAAATGTATGATACTAGTCAAACCATTGCACTGCTGTTCGAAGTTGCATTTTCACTTCAGGGTATTTTTGTAATTGTACAGTAGCAATAAAAGAACAAACTTATTAGAAAAACAAGCTTTTCACGTGTGGTAATGCCTTGGAACAAAGCCCGAGCTATCGGCCAAACTGCATTTGGTGTATGTGACAGATGTAGCACTTCAGTCTC